GGGACAAATATCATATGTTCTCCCTGATCGGCGACAACTAACTGAGCACCAAAGGGGAAACCTGTTGAAGTGAAATTGACACTATGAAAAACAGTGACTTGATCAGCTCTTGTCCTGACTGTTGATGTACAATGTAATAGTTTATCCATTTTACTGTTTTCTCTTTGTTTTGCTCTAGTACTATTAGTTGAACTCTGTGATTAACACACAATTATTCTTAGGTGTTTAAACTTTAACTGGAAAATGATCCCTGTTAAATATAAGAGTGGGAATAAGAGAGGGAGGAGATGTACAATTTGGGACATGCTCAATCGGACTTGCCCCAAATGGTGGAGTTAGAATCATGCCAGGGAATTCCAATTCAATCCCATCAAGGTGGCATGTACCAATGCCATCTCACTAGTCCAAGTGATCAATTTCAGTTCACAATTGATCACACTGATAGGTCTAAGAGTCAAAGGGATCACACAAACAAGTCTAGTGTCTGCTAATACTAGCTGATAGAATCAAAAAACGGAGAGAACGATCCATCATGGGAAGCGGGATACACAGTAGACTCATAGAATGGCAGATTCCTAAATAGCACTCTGGCCTCAGAATCAGCCCTTAAGGCATTTGGATATGGCTGAAGGGCCCATGAGAGTATTTTAGGCATGGAAAGCCAAGACGCCCTAGAAAAAATAAAAAGAAGACCTAAATGGAAGATCTCTACGAGTGAGATCCCAGTGGAAAGAATGGGGCCATCAAAGAAGGAGGTACCTTTCTCTGAAGGGAGGAGAGAACTTCCACTTTGACTATGACCCTGTCGGAATAAGATCGAAGTTGGTGAACTCAAAAGGCTTCCATAGCCTTGACAACTCATGACTAGAGCCTAGGGAGATTACTGACTCCATAAACAAGAGTGTCAAATTGTTAAGTCAACAACAGGAGTCACTGTGTACTTACTTCTCATGTGGAATCTGTCCTTAATGTGTTGTTCAATGTGAAGTAATGCTATAACTAGTACTGAAACAGTATTTTACACTTTGTGTTTCTGTGTGGGTGCAAACTGATGAAATGTTTACTTAATACATACTGAATTGATCCTCTGTATATAAAGATAATTGAAAATGTATCTTGATGTGAATGGAATGGGGTAGCGGGAGATAGGAAGGGTGTGAGTGGGAGGGAAATTATGGGGGAGAAGCCATTGTAATCCATAAACTGTACGTTGAAAATTTATATTTACTAAATAAAAAAATATATGTATACCTAACTTAAAAAAATACTTGACATATTAGACTTCATCAAAATAAAAACTACTTCTCATAAAAATCCATTAAGATGAATAGTTGATCTCTACACTGGAATAAAATATTCATAAATATATATTTGATAGAGTGTTTATATATTCTGGTATCAGAACATATAAATCAATAATGAAGATACATGCAACACAGGTTTTTAAATGACCAAAATTTTTGAACAGTGTACACAACCAAAAAGGTATATTACAGGACAAATGCACATGTAAAAATGTTTAACCTAATCAATGGACACCAACTACAAATGAAAGTTATCATTCACTACCACTACTTACCCACATAAATCACTAAGATTGAAGTCTGATAACTTAAATTTTGGTGAGAATGTCTAGTAACTGAAATTTTCATACAATTTTGAAAATTGTAATATAATATGGGACAACAATTTTGACTATTTCTTAGAAAAATAAACATGCATCTTCTTCAGCAATGCCATTTCTATGTATTTCAAAAGAGAAATGAAGACATATATCCACAAAAAAGACATTGTAAGAAATATTCATAGCGACTCTATTTATAATGACCTTAACTTGGAAACAACAGGAATGTTCATCAATGGAACCATGGAGAAACTGGTATATCCATACAGTGGGATACTACATAATACTACATAACCATATAAAAGAAAAAAATCCAGTTGTACAAAAAACTGATCAAAAATTGATATAAAACATTATCCTGAATAAAAACACCTTACAGTAAATAGCATGTAATGTATAAATACAGTTCCAGAATTGGCACAAGCAATGTGAAGTGGAAAAGTCAGAATTGTGTTTGCCTCCTGTTGAGGAAAGGAAAGGTGAAGGTGAAGCATCAGAATGAGCATGAGAAAACTTCCTGGGGTGAGAATAATGTTCTTTATCTTCTTAAGGGTTTATCTTCATAAGAGTTAATGTGTTTGTATATTTCTTAAAAACTCATAGAATGATATACTTAATGTTTGTGCATTTCATTTTTGTAAATTTTATCTACAAAATGAACTGATACTGGTATTGAAGTTCCATTAATAACATGCATACTGAAGTGCTTGGGGTGAAGTATAATGATTTGTGCAACTTTGAAGTATAAATTTTAAAAAAGTAGTTAAATAGAGTGATGGTTGGATGTGTGATAAAACAAATAAAATGTCATTTGTATAATCTAGGTGATAATTAAGGAGTATTTAAAATTCTTTCAACTTTTCTGTATGTTTAATCATTTATGTCAAGAAATATTAAAGGAAAGCAACTATTTCTACAATATGTCCCCCACTATTCTCTCTGAGACCTTGGCTTCCAAGATTCAATTCCTTGCCGCCCCCCTTAATCCTCCTACTAGTTTCAGCCACATTGGCCTTCTTGTTATTCTTGGCACAAATTAGTTATGCACCTTTCTTATACTATTTGCCTGTTATATCTCTACTTAGAAAGCATTTCTCCCAAATAACCATATGGTTCAAGGGTTGATTACTCATCGTCTTTGGGTCTTTGCTTAAATCATCTTTTCACTGAGACCTTCCCTGCTGTTCAATATGCATGCCAGCATCCCATACTATTTTACTCACTGTATTTTTCTCTATAGCATTGATTACCATCTATGATTCTGGATGCCTCATTTATTTATTAATTGATTCAAATTCAATGAGGGTAGGTCCTTGTGCCTATTTTTCCCCAGTATGTTGAACAGTTCCTGGCACATAATAAATGTTCAGCTAATATTTGTTGAGAGAATGAATTAGACTTCTAAAAGAGCTGAATAAGTGGTAATTATGAAACTTGATAGGGTCAGCATATTTAAAAAAAAAAAAAACCACGAATGCCAAAGTACAGGAAGGGTGGAAATAAGAGTGTTTGTGGGAAAATGACTAAGGAACTTTAGTTAAATCAAATTAATTAACATATGTAAAACATCTATAAAAGTGTCTTCCCATAGGAAATGGTATGTAGGTATTTGTAATACTTTCTATTATTTGGACAGGAAGTACATTCTTGCAGTAGCAGAGTGATGGCATATGTCAAAGAAAACAGAAAACAAAAACTGAATTCCATTTTACACTGCATTTAAAAGGCTACTGCACTTAGAATATGAGAAGCGACTGACTCACTCTAATTTGGTAAAAACAGTTCTGAGCATCATTAAGTTCTGAGCACCTCATTAAAAAGAGCATGGGTTCCTTATACCGTATTTTCACTAGTGCTATTATAATGTTAAGACAGGAACTTGGAGTTTTTATCTGAGGAGAATATTGCTGTATAGAAATATTCAAATAGTCAAGGTGGGAGAATTACAGTTCTGTCAACTCCTGGGAGCGAAAGTAAGAACAGTGTGTGGACACTCTAGAATAAAAGACTTTATATCAATCTAAGGAAATTTTTCTGAATAAACAGCTATCTAAGCATATGATCATTTTCCAAGTTAGACATGACTCCCTGAATGGCAGGCATATAAACATGAGCTATACAAAAGTATGATGTAAATGAAAAAAATATGGGCCTGGTGCCACAATAACCTGAGCTCAGATTTCCTATGTGCAACTTATTAGTTGTTTGACTTCACACAAATGACTGAAACTCTATATGCCTCAGTTTTGTGATTAATCTGCAAATTGTACTTCAAAATAATAGAGATTGTTGGAATAAAATGAAATTAAATGAAGGTTAAGGACCAGACATTGTATATGGCACATGAAGAAATTAATATTTGTGTATCTCATAGGGAAATTTTGATTTTGACAGGGGGAAAAGTCTTAAAGTCAAATAAATCACTTTTAAATATCAGCAAGTTGGAAAAGAACATAGTTTTTATAATTCTTTTCTTCTATACACAATTATGTTAAAAATGAAATTGGTATTAAGTGCTTTCTTTTGGCTTGAAACAATTACTAAGCAATGAACATAACAAAATAGAAAGTAAAATTTATTCAGACCAATTACAATCATGAGTGTTTGAGCCTATTAAACTTCCTTCAAATGAATACTATCATCATCTAGAAAGGAAGGAATATAATAAAACTTTTTCTGACTGCTTTGGTTATATCTAAACTATTTCAGGTAATCTTTAGGTCTAGAGAATAAGATCAGGACTGTTTTTCTAAAAAAAGAACAAACATAGATAAGCAAGTCAATAGGTATAGGTTCCGAGGTTTCTTTTTGTGACACTAGTAGAGGAAAACTATTTCCCCAGTAGTGGCATTTTTATGAAGATGAATTTTTCTGTGCCAACATTTGATATAAATAATTTCAAAGAATTTTGACTTATAAAGTATATTAAGGCCTATTATCTTGGTTAATAAAAAACCATGAAAGGTAGTTACCATCTCTACTAAAAGAAAGCTTAATACAAGAAAATATTTCTTATGAGAAAAGTGTTTCAAATTATAAATGTGAATAAAATAATGGTTTTCATTTCAAAATATACTGACACATGTTTATAGCATTTGTCTACTAATGTTATACTGTCTTCACTGGATTCATGGTTTATTTCTTATATTCTAGAATATTTTCTTCTATAAGAAATATTTAATTTTCCTTCCTTCATCCAATTTCATTTTTGTGTTACAGACAAGTAAACCAAAATATGTTTTATACATTTCATATATATGTATTTCTCTTTATTTTTATGCAGTGTGATAAGGGAGATGTGTTATTCTAGTGTCAAAAAGAATGTAGTACATAAGACATTTTATTTTATGAAACAAAATTTTAGAATGTCACTTACCACATCTATTATATCAGATTCCATTTCATGGCTGAGATCAGACTATAAAAAAATGAAAAGACAATTAGTGGCTAATTATTGACATAACTTCTGCATTTCTTTACTCAAGGTCACAAACATAAACATTAAATATTAATGCAAATGTTTTACAATAATATGTTCATTTCCAAGTTACAAAAAGGCATTTTTCAGCATCTGAGGGAACAGCCAAACCAAGTCCTTGTCTTTTAACAAATAGCTTTTATCCATTTGCATTTTTTGTGATTCTGGTATATGTGAACTTATTATATCCTCTTATTTTAGTTCTTATATGTATCATGTTTATTTCTTTATCTCCAAAGCCACCTTTTACACAACATCTATTAAATCACCTTCTCTTAATTTTCTTCTTTTCTCCCCTGTTTGTCAAACTATTGCACATTTGATTTATTTCCTTTAATCCAAAAATTTTTACATATATAAAAACTGAATATGGTTAATCAATACCTATATCCTCTTATTTTTTTTTATTTTTTTATTTTTTTGACAGGCAGAGTGGACAGTGAGAGAGAGAGACAGAGAGAAAGGTCTTCCTTTTGCTGTTGGTTCACCCTCCAATGGCTGCCGCGGCCAGCGCGCTGTGGCCGGCACACCGTGCTGATCCGATGGCAGGAGCCAGGTACTTCTCATGGTCTCCCATGGGCTGCAGGGCCCAAGCACTTGGGCCATCCTCCACTGCACTCCCTGGCCACAGCAGAGAGCTGGCCTGGAAGAGGGGCAACTGGGACAGAATCCGGTGCCCCGACCAGGACTAGAACCCGGTGTGCCGGCGCCGCAAGGCGAAGGATTAGCCTGTTGAGCCGCGGCGCCGGCCCTATATCCTCTTATTAATATAGTGACCTTAAAACCCTTTTTACTCTCTCCAAACTCCTCTCTTCCAACTTTTGTATTATTACTGTCCAAAATTTTAGTTTCATCTTTCCTTCAAACTGTCAAATTATTCTCTAATTGTCAAAGCTAATAATGATAAATAACATTTCAATGATTTTCCTGCTCACTATAGCTTCTTTTCACTTAGCCTAGTGATTAAGATGCCTACATCCCATATCAAAGTACCTGAATTTGTTTTCTAAATCTGGTTCCTGACAACAGTTTTCTGCTAAAGCAGACAGTGAGAAGTGGCAGATGTTTGCTCAAGTGTTCAGATAGGGAATTTAGATGGAGTTTCCAGTTCCTGGCTTTGGCCCAACCCAGTCCCCGTCACTGCATGCATGTGAGGAGTGAACCGGTAGATGGGAGCAATGTCTTCCTCTCTCTCTCAAAAAAAGTTACAAATGCACTAATCATAAGTATCCAACTTGGTAATGTATTTACGTAAAGAGATACCTCCTATGATCACATTAGATGTAAAAATATAAAATCTTTCCAGCACCACATTAAGTTCCCTCTTCCTCCTTCCCAGTCTATACTCCAAGTGATAACCAATATTCTTTTTTCAATTAATATTTATCTGATTTATTTTAAAGGCAGTGATAGAGAGGTAGAGACAGAGACAAAGATACCTTCCATTCATTGATTCACCCCCTAAATGGCTGTGTGGTTTGCAGCTGGACCAAACCAAAGTCAGGAGAGAGGAACTCCATCCCACATTTTTCCCACATGGGTAGCAGGGGTCCATGTATTTGGGCCATCATTTGCTGCCTTCCCAGGAACATTATGGGAGCTGGGTGAAGGAGAGTTTCTGGGACTCACTAGTGCTCCTATGGGATGCTGGCATCACAGGCTCAAGGTTAACCCACTGCAAAACAATGCTGGCTCTGATCACCATCATTCTAAATTATCTCCTAATTATTTTTTTCTGTTTTGAACTTCACATCATTGAAAATATACAGTATGTATTATTTCATCTCTGGCTTCTTTAACTTACCATATTATCTGTAAGAATCACCCAGTTTTGATGAATATCACATAATTTCAGTTTTATACAATATTTCTACCCTTCTAGGTTCAATACTTCTGTGTTCTTTTATAAAAAAGATTTTTATTTATTTATTTGAAAATCAGAATTATATATAGGGAGAGAGGGAATGAGGGAGCGGAAGAAGGAAAGAGGGAGGGAGAGAGAGAGAAGGAGATGGAGACTGAGAGGGAGAGGGAGAGGCAGAGGGAGCGGGGAGAAGTTTGAGAAATCTACCATCTGTTGGTTCACTCCCCAAATGGTTACAACATCCAGGACTGGGCCAGGCTAAATCCAGGAACCTGGAACTCCAACCAAGTCTCCAATGTGGGTGGGAGGAGTCTAAGTACTTGAGACATCTTTTGCTGATTCCCAGGCTCATTAGCAGAGAGCTGGATTGGAAGTGGAGCAGCTGGGACTTCAACTTGTGCTCAAAAGGGATGCCGGCATTGTAGGTTGTAGCTTAATCCATTTGCACAAAACTGGCCCCTATTCTGAGTCCTTATAATTCAAGGATAAAACTAATAAAAATCATTTAGATCTATTTTAATGCTGCATTAAAATATTAATCTTTTAAGAGTGTTAAGCTTTTGGGTCTGGCACTGCAGTGTAGAGCGTAAAGCTGCCATCTACAGTGCTGGCATGCCATATGGGCATCAGTTGAGTCCCGGTTGCTCCACTTCTGATCCAGCTCTCTGCTATGGCCTGAAAAGGCAGTGGAGGATGGCTGAAGTCCTTGGAACTCTGTACCTGCGAAGGAAACCTGGAAGAAGCTTCAAGTGCCTGGCTTCGGATTGACCCAGCTCAAGCCATTGTGGCCATTTGGGAAGTGAACCAGTGGATGGAAGACCTCTCTCTGTCCACCTCTCTCTGTAACTCTGTCCTTCAAATAAATAAAATAAATCTCAAAAAAAAAATTTAAATAGTGTTAAGCTTTTTAAATTTAAGTGAATTCTTGATACTTGAAGTTATATTTATTATTTTCATAGAATTTTCACCTTGTTCCATCTGTTCTTAACTTACTAATTTTTGTTGTTTTGATCAGATATTTGTACTATTCCATGTCTTCTCATCTGGTAGGTTTTTTTATTTATGCCATATATTATTATTTCCATGGTTAATATAGAGCAGATTCTTAAAAGGCATTTTGGAAAACAATACAATTTTACTCTCAATTTTTGTTTAGTTTTAGAAAATATTTTCATAATATTCAACTTAACACACAATGGGATTATCATTATAACATCTAAATGAATTAGTAAGTAATTTTGAAATTTACTAGGTTATTATGTAATATGGAAGCTATCAATAGATTTAACCCACATAAAAAAAGGCTCTTTGGGGTGGAATATAATTTTTAAGAGATTAAACAGGAGGCCAGAGCTGTGCTGAGGTGGGTAAAGCCATAGCCTGCAGTACTGGCATTCCATATGGATGCAGGTTCATGTACTGGCTGCTCCACTTTTGATCCAGCTCTCTGCTATGGCTTGGGAGGGCAGTACAGGATGGTCCAAGTCCTTGGGCCCCTGCACCCGCATGGGAGACCTGGAGGAGGCTCTTGGCTTCTGGCTCCTGGTTCCTGGCTTCAGATCGGAGCAGCTCCAGCCTTTGTGGCCATCTGGGGGGTAGAACCAGCAGATAGAAGACCTCTCTCTCTTTCTCTGCTTCTGCCTCTCTGTAACTCTACCTTTCAAAAAAATAAATCTTTTTTAAAAAGAGATTAATTAGCTCTTGAGATTAAAGAGTTAACTATCATACTAAAGATTATAATGTGTCTGATTTATTACAGTCCATGTTACATTGGTAACTTCACCACTTCTAAACAATCCCTTGAATTTTACAAAAAAGCTGAATCATTGTTATCATATTTTTGATTTTATGAATGCTATACAGTTTCTAAGAGATTAATATAGCTTTTTAAAAATATTTATTTATTTACTTGAAAGGCAGAGTTATAGATAGGGAGAGGCAGAGGCACAGAGAAAGAAGTCTTCCATCCACTGGTTCATTCCCTAAATGGCTGCAACAGCCAGGGCTTGGTCAGTCTGAAGCCAGGATCTAGGAGCTTCTTCCAGGTCTCCCACGTGGGTGCAGGGGCCAAAGGATTTGGGCCATTAGCAGGGAGCTGGATCAGGAGTGGAGCAGCTGGCTCTTGAACCAGCACTTATATGGGATGCTAGCACTACAGGTGGTGGCTTAATCTGCTATGCCCTTATAGCTTTCTTTTAAATATTCAGTATTCATTTATAATTTACATATATATATATATATCTTCTAGGAACTTTCATTCCTTTATACTAGGTCTATTTTTATTGTTTAATTTTAAATTGAACATAATATTTGTATGTATATATGAGTACAGTATGATAATTACATTATCATGACAATTAATGGAGACTTGAAGGTAATGGAATGGCATATTTAAATTGTTGGGAAAAAAAAGAACCGTCAACTAAATATTCTATAGCTGGTAATGCTGTCCTAAAATGAGGGAGAAAGTAAGCATGTCTAGATAAATACAAGCTACAAGCTAAAGAAGTTCCTTAGACACTAGAACTGTCCTATAAGAAATACTGAAGGTGTTCCTTCAGGTAGAAATTAAATGATGAACTAAAAACCATATAAAGAAATAATGCTCTTCAGTAAAGATAAATATATGGACAAAAGTAAGAGGTGATATTATTTTAATTTGTAACTCCATTTTATATTTTCTACAATACTTAAAAGACAAATGTATAATAATGATTAAAATCTATTTAAAATGTAAGTTACTAGATGCATAAAGAATAAATATGCCATTTGTGACATCAGAACTTAAAAGGAGTTTGAGTATGTAAAATAAAGTATATGTAATTGAAATTATATTGGTATAAATTCAAAATAGATTGTTGTAATTCCATGATATAGTATATAATCCTTGTGATAACCACAAATCAAATGTCTGTAGAATATACACTAAATGAGGTTGGCATTGTGGTGTAGCAGATAAAGCCGCCACCTGCGATGCCACCATCTCAAATAGGTGCCAGTTCATGTCCAGGCTGCTCCATTTATGAATCTGCTAATGGCTTGGAATAAGCAGAGGAAGATGGCCCAAGTAATTGGG